TGCAACTTTACAGATCTTCTTTATGCACCAAGAGCTTGTAACACTCCAAAGAGAAAGGAAAAAATGAAATTGCATCATATGACCCCTTTAATAAGTGAGTCATTCAGTCATTCATCGATTCGGTTCAAATGGCTGATTCATTCAGAAACTAAGCAAGTGACTGCCTTTATGAATGGCTCACTGATTCGTTTAAAAACATGGATTCATTAATGAAACACCGCTGTGTGTTGATCTGAGACGCACAACAGTTCTCCTAGGGATTTATTTTCGCTGGCTAAATTACTGACAATGTGTCTAAAATGTAATTATTCACACCTTTACATTATATTCATTTTTAGGTAAAAACTTCTATGTAAACTATTTTTGTCTTTCTATCAGCCAATGATAATTCCGAAAGAAAACACGCAGTGTTTGTTATAGTAACACATGCAACTTTCACATGCATCTGACTGACAGAAATGCGTGCTTGTATTTCAGCGTTGCTGATGATGTTATGGTTATTTTAGCACATAGTTTGCTCTGTAAATTCTGTTCAACAGCATTAAGTTGAAGAGGGTAGCCTAAACTTTATCACTCGACTGAATCTACACATGCATTTTAGGTGTTCATGCTCCGTCCACCTCTTTTGAATAAGCGCTGTAGCATATTCTTCAACCACTCAGGTATGTCAGTACGAGCCTTTTCAGGGGCTGTAGAAATATCCCCCCCGTAATTCGCACCCTGACTGGATAATGGTTTCCACAAATAACAAAAAAAGTGAAGCAGCACAACTGTTTCAACATTGCTAATAATCAGAAATGTTTGCTGAGCAGCAAATCAGCATATTCAAATGATTTCTGAAGGGTCATGCGACGCTGAAGACTCAAAATAATAAATTACATTTTAAAATAAATTAAAGAGGTCATATGATGCGATTTCAAGTTTTCCTTTCTCTTTGGAGTGTTACAAGCTATTTGTGGATAGATAAGATCCCTAAAGTTGCAAAGACTAAAGTCTCAAACCCAAAGAGATATTCTTTATAGAAGTTAAGACTCGTCCGCGCCCTCCTAAAACACCTCGTTCTAACACGCCCCCACATGTCTACGTCACGATGTGGGAAGATTTGCATAACGCCGCCCAAATGTTCACGCAAAGAAAGAAGACATAACTTTTATACTTGCTGTAGTATTGTTGCTGCCGCCACCATGTTGTGGAGACGCGGTGTGTTTTGTTGTGAAAGTGAAACTACTTTGTTTGGCCTTCCAAAAGAGGATGATATCCGCTTCGTCATGCCAGGAGCTGATCCGTGCTGGTTGCTGAGGAAATACATCAACTTCGCGCTGTAGATCGCCGGATCGGCTTTCA